AATACAATAAAATATTTCTATTTAAAATAAATTATTAAAATGAATATAATAACGATCAAATAATTGAATTAATAGATATCAACCAATACAAATTATAAAATGAAAAATAAAACTCAAATTTTAGATGTTATTAAATAAAATTATTTTTGTAAGTTTTTGTCGTAAAGAAGAACGGTTTTTAAAAACATTCTGGACATTAAACATTAAACTGTTTTTCATAACATCGCAATCTAATATTAATACATTTTTCACAAATTAAAGTGAACAATGAATACTGATGACTAGGAGCACCAAAATCTAAATTAGTTAGTAAATGAGTATTTGCAAAAAAAATTTTGTACTTCTATTTAAAATACTTTTTCTAGTACTTTCAATAATTAAAAATTTGATATTTTTATGAAGATTTTTTCTTTAATAACTATTATTTGAAATTATTTTTCAAGATGTCGATAAAATGGTCACTTGTCAAAACACTACTTTTTGTTGGGACAACATTTTTTCTCCTTACTTCTTTCAACCATTGTTTTAAAATTTCAGAATTGTTTATAGGAAATCTAAAATAAATAAGTATTAAAATATTTAATAATCTCTAGATTCTACACTTTTTATAACAGAGTACTATGCAAAATGTTAAACCTATGAAAATTTAGTGTACAGCCTTTTGAGTATCTGTTAGTACATCCAAACGCAAAACATGAATGCACCATTTTACATTTAATCACTAACTTAAACAAAAAAATATTAAAAGTGAATAAGATATTAAAATAATAGTTGATRGATTGCCGAGTATTAGAAAGGTTCTAGGTAAAATAATTATTTAACTATCGTGCTTGTTTACTACGGTCTACGGATCATCGTATGTATAAAAATAATGTTTTGCCCTTATGGAGTGGGAGTAACTCTTATCATGGTGGCTCGTATTCWGTTTACGAGTGATCACTCCAGTTTATTCTTTATCTCGATGACTACAAATTAAATTACACAAAGAAGTAATAAGTACATAATATACTACAGTACAAATATTTATATTAATTTTGTTATCATTAATAAATATTCTTATCAACCATGCGATTTTGTAAACATTGCCCTGTTGGCATATTATGGCGGCTCGGGCTGACTTCAATATTATCCCGTAGTCGGCTATCTAGTTGTTTTATATGTCTATGCAGGTGAGTACTTATATAATAGGTATATTATATTTATAATGTGACGTTAGTATTGTTTATGCGCATATATACGCGCGTATATATTAGTAGTGTCTAGTGTTGTATATATATATAATATAATATAATATTTAAATATAGCCAACATAGGTTAATATAGKAAATAAATAGTYAACAGTTAATCCCGAGCCGTCGTCRTCTACAAGGGTTTTCCGTATGACTGTTATTCGGTCTCAAAAGGTAGGTAGTTAATAATATTTTTTTAATGCTTTATGAGCCATTAAGGCTTATTGAATTTTCTACTGTGCGTCTGTGCCCCACCTGTCACGGTCAATTTATAGTACCCAGTCTCAAAACTTGCTGCTCCGTCCACCTATTTTTATGTTTTATATCTGCATGACTGCATTGAGATTGACTATCCTATCATCGTTGCCGAGGTCGTCCTCTGTGGCGCTTGCCAGTTGGATTATTAATCAGTACTTTTCCAAATAATATGCTTCTCAGCTCGCCATACATGTTCTGCCCATTCCAGGTTCCTGGCTTTTTGGAAAATTTAATACTTGGTTGATTATATAACGATTCCAGGTTGGTATTTTTTCTTCTTTTATAATCTCCAATTATTTTATAATATAGATGTGATAAATAGACTATATTGT